TCTCATACTTTGGACATATTGTCAGGAGGGAACAGTCACTGGAGAAGGATGTCATGCTGGGTAAGATGGAGGGTCAGAGAAAAAGAGGAATATCCCCAACGGAGATGGATCAGCCAGGTGGCATCATTGATGGCATCAAGTGTGGCAGCGGTAGTGAGGATGGCCCAGGATCAGACATTGTTTCATTCTGCTGTGCATGGGGTCGCTATGAGTTGGTTCTGACTCAATGGCACCTGACAACAACAACAACAGAAAGGTTTAACCATCTACTTCTGAAAACTTCAGCCAACAAAAACCCTACTGAAAGCAACAGATTGTTGCCCAATATAGTACTGAAAGAGTCTTGTAGGTTGGAATGCACTCAAAATACATCACAACAGTGCACTCAAACATGTCAACAATTTTGAAGATGGCACAGGATCAGACTTTGTTTCATTCTGTTGTGTATGGGGAGGCCACAAGTTGAAGCTGACTTGACTGAACTAACAACACAAACAAAAAAAGTAGTGCAACTGTGATTGTGTGCGATTGTGAGGCATGCACAGTACCAGGCAGTGTTTCATTCTGTTGTACATAGAGTTGCTATGAATCTAAAATGACTGTAGGCACCTAACAACATCAACAATAGAAAAAATGGTCATAAAAATACTTGGAAGGGGAAGCTCACAAAAGAGGAAATGAGACTTCTGTCAAGATGATGGGCTAGTCAGAAGACTACATGGTCTCCCCCGAGAGACCAAATGAAATGGGCAGAAATGACAATCCTGGAACCCTGAACTTCAGAGAAAGGTTAGAGAAGTGGATTGAGTGGGAAGACACGCTGAGCAGGATTGGTGAAGCACCAGGCAGCCAAAGCACAACCATCTTAAACCTTTGTGAGCGGTTTTGGCAATAAAAGGTGTCCTGGTAAAGTAGATTCACCAGATAATGGAAAGATATGATTCTTTCTTCCACCCCCCATCCCACTCCTCTGGAAACCAGAGGTGTGACCAGCTCCCACCCTTACCTATTCCTAGCCTAGACCCAACTCCACCAGAGTTCAGAGCCAGGAGTCTGGGAGCCATGCTAGTGTGAGCAGGGGGTGGCTGTGCCACTGTGGTACCTGGATTCAGATGGCTTCAGCTCCAGACCTACAGAGCTCAAAGCCACCAGACAGCATTTAACCCATCTGCCTGCCCCCAGCTGCCCTGTAGTCCAAACAGACACTGAAATCAACTCCATAAATGACCTTTGCAAACTACTTCTGGATTGAGTACCCTGAACATACGTTAACACGGAGGCTGATAGGAACTCCATCTAGGGCCAGGAACTCCACTGTCACATCACCCACATCCCTCCCACACCCACCTTGTGAGCTCATGCACTGCCAGGAGCCCCCCAGAGTTTTCTTCTTTCCATTCCCTTGAATTTTATCCTATTCTCTGCTTTTTTTTTTTTTTCCTTCTTTTCTTCTGGTTTTCATTTTCACTCTCTCCCCTTCCCTTTTGATTTTTCTTTACTACACTCTACTCTCATCTTGCCTGTCACTGGTTTTTCTGTTTTGTTTTTTCTTGTTTATTTCCTCTATTTTTCTCTTCTATAGCCCCATTTCTGTGTCCTTCTTTTGTCTTTATAGCTATTATGTACTTTTTTTCTGGTTACTGCCTGTTTTTATTTCTTTTTTCATTATTTTTTTCTTTACGTTGTTGGTTCTTTGTTTATTTCATTTTGATTTCTTGTGTGTGTGTGTACAAGGGGAGGGTTTTTCTCTTTCCTCACCTGATAAAAGGCAGCAACTCTGCCCATACAGACCAGTCACAACCGTACCCGCTGCAGCTACATCCATTAGGCAAGAGCCAAGACCAGCTCCTGTACCACCTGATCAAAGACAAATATCAGCCAACCCCACCCTAAACTGAGGTACACAAATGGTGAACAAGAAAGGAGTAGGGTCTTCCATTCTCTATCATCACACAAAGGAGACAGTTGGTGAGAGTCTAAAAACACACCAACATACAATAATCAGTTAAATACAAATATGAAAACCACACAATGCTCCAGAGTCAACAATTTTAACTCACATGAAGAAACAATGGAGAATGGCTCAAACAAATGACCAAGATGCAGAGCTAGAAAATGTTTCTGAGGAAGAAAAGGTAATGAACTAACTGAAAAAGAACGCAAAAGAATGATATTTAGGTACCGTACCTCCAAATGATAGACAAAAAAGATCGAGGAAATCAAGGACAACACAGAAAAAACTTGAGAAGGATTCAGGAAAACACTGCAAGAACAAACAGACAAAATAAATGCAAATTTTGAAGCAATACAAACCTGCAATTAGAAATCCAAAATATTAACACTAAGATCTCAGAAATGGACAATACATTGAAAGGGCAAAGTAGTAGATCCAAAGGAACAGAAGTCCAAATTTGAACATAAATCTCTCAATAATAGTAAGCTAGAAGTACAATCAGAAAAAAGAATGAAAATGTCTGAAGACAGCCTAAGAGTTATGTAGGGCACCACAAAGAAGAACAACTTATAGGTGACGGAATTCCGGAACAGAAAAAAAACTACTGAAGATAAATATTGGAAGAAAACTTCCCTAACATCATGAAAGAAGACAAGACAAGCACACAAGAAGCTGAATGAACTTCAAACAGGATAAATCCCAAAAGAAAATCACCAAGATATATCATAATCAAACTTTTCAAAACCAAATAAATACATGACAAAAATCCTGAGAGCAGCTCAGACAAAACGAAAAGTTACCTGCAAAGGAGAATCAATAAGACTAAAGTCTGGATTTCTCAGCAGAAATAAGCCAGGCAAGAAGGCAATGGGATTATATATACAAAACTCTGAAAGAAAACAAATTGCCAACCAAGAATCATATACCCATCAAAGCTGTCCCTAAATTTGGCATGAAATTAGAACATTTTCTGATAAGCAGAAATTAAAGGAATTTGTCACGATGGGGCCATATTTACAAAAAAAAATGCTATAGGGTGTTCTCTGGATTGAAAACCAACATCACCAGACAATTTGAGATTATCATATATGGCAACAACACCCAGAACTCAATTCAGATATAGATATATTTAAAGCAGGGGTGGGTAATGTCTGCCCCCTGGGCCGTATGAGGCCTGCAAA